CTTAGGACTACAATATCTTATATTTTGAAGAAAAGGTAGAACTTTATTTTTCTTTTAATTTTAAAAATTCTGAAAATGCTTTGAGAAATTCATAAAAACATAAAAATGAGAAGGTTGAAAAAAAGGATGATGTTTTCTTAGTTTTTTATTTGAAAGATTTATTATTTGCATATTGATCAAAAATTGTGGTGATAATGATAAATAGTAGAAAATCGTGTGTCAAATCTGTTGATTTGTTACAAAATGTGTGTATTATGTTATTAAATATTAAACTCAAATGATTTCTCTCAAGAAAAGAAAGAAATATTTGCTGTGTGTATTGTACGACATATCATTTTTAATTATACAGTATACCGCTTTGTTATTTTTTTATATACTCTAGGCTATAAATTTGTAAATGTGTAGAAGAATGTTGCAGTAAAAAAATAATTTTTTTTCGTAATTTTTTGAGACCATATGTTTTGAGATATTTCTGGTCAGAGGTCAAGTCAGGTCACTTTTGAAGTTTGACCTAGCTTGAGAAGGTCATATAAGATATCAAATGAAAGCTCTATTTTTTAGCTTTACAATGGTTTTTGATTTTTTTTTTCTGATACAATTGGAAAAAAAGTTACAGCTATTTATATGTATGCAAGTTTGTCGCTTTTAATGAAAATTTTATTTTTTCAAATGTCCATAATTTGGACAATTTTGAAATTAAAAATCTAAAATTTGGTAGAATTGTTTACTTTATAATGAGTGTTTATTCCACCAAATTTCATTAAAATCAGAGAAGGGGGGGCGGTCCAAAATTGAGTGATCTGATGTGGAATGACTCTATTAAAAAACCATTTAATAAATAGGATAAAGTTTTTTTTCTATAAGTAATTTGATGAAATCGTCTGCTCTTTCTTAATTCCAATAATACGTGAAAAAACTTGAGAATACCAGCAGTGGTTAGCCGTACTATCCCAGATGAATGAATCTTAACGCTCCTGAAGCTTTTAACTTTCTTCCATTGCCTACACGCCTTCTCCATGCATCGCAGTTCCATGTAATAATATAATTCTATCAAAAGTGCTCCACGAAAGCAAATTTCTTCCTACACTTGATACAGAAGTTCCCTTGTTTTCTGGGTCAGATTCAAACTTACAAGGGTACAGAGTTGAACATTGGAAGTCGTAAACTCAAAATTTGGTTGGCTGTTCAACCACTGTTGCAAATTAAAACTTAAAAAAGAACGAAATATTTTGTAAACATATTCTTTTTGTATCATTTTCAGGAAGAAAAAAAAATACTGATTCGTTTAAATACGCGAGTCTTAATTTTTAATGCAGAAACAGTGTTTAATACCTATTTTCTTAAAGTTTTATTTTTGCATTTTATCATCTTTCAAACATTTTTAAGACCGAAAAAAATCTTAAGAAAATCTCCACCTGTGATTACTTGTTAAGTTGAAAGAGAAAAAAAAGCATGGTTTCAGCAACAAACTAAAAAACAACAATGACGGGTAAAATTAATCGTCAACTTAAGTTTTAATGAAATCATTGATTAATATTTTGATAAATAAACTACTTAAACGTTGTATAGAAAACAGCGTTTTGTAACTTTACAATACTAATCGTTCAACATTTATTTTCAGTGGCTGAAAAAAATAATAATAAAAATCTTTCAGAAATAATTAATTATATTCTTTAAAGCTGCATTATGTAGCAGGTGTTCGAAAATTAAAAATTATACAAACGACAAAGCATTTAAATGGAGTTTTAAAGGATATTTAATTTTTTTAATTCAAACTTAAAACATTCTATGTTTTGTTTAATTTCTTTTTAATCAGTAATATTGATTGATAAATTACGTAAATTGATAGATACATTATGAAATATTTAAATACTATCAAGATATATGATTATTTTTTTTAAAAAAGGGATAGATTTCGAATTTATCAAAAGGAATTATCGAATATTTATGTAATAATTTTAAGTTAAAACTTTAGTTATTACTCAGCAATTTATCAAAGCATTTCTAGTTTTTTTTTTTAATCATTTATGATATTTATAAGAAAATCAATTATCATCACTGATTTGAGCTGATCATCTGAGCTAAGAGTATAGATAACACTGGGGTACAAATCTTTTGTTGCATTTACACAATCTTAATCTTGCTTAATTCGGGAGTGGAGATTTCAAATCTAAAGTTTATTTTGCTCCTAAAGCTACATATATTTTTAAAAGGGCATTTTTAGGCTGTTTTTTGCTTAAATGTACAATTTAAAAAACGCTATATGTAACAGGGACGCAAATATTTTAAATGTATAGACAAATAAAATGGTGCTTGTTATCAAGAAAAATATAACTAAGATTTTAAAAATTAATCCTAATCCAATTAAAAGACATATTTTTAGAAAATAGTAAACTAGTGGAGGTAAGCAGTTTTGCGTATCTTGGAAATATAATTAACAACAAAGAAGGAACTGATGAAGATATACTTAGTAGATTAAACAAAGCCCGAAGCAGTTACGATATTCTCAATAAATTCTAGAGGAAAAAAAAAGAATAAACTCAGCAAAATTTAGAATTTGCAATACTAATGTTCTATCTGTCCTACTAAATGGATTTGAGGCATGGCACTGCAATAAAAATTCATTAACAGCTGTTTAAGAAGAATCTTGCGTATCAAGTGGCACTATAAAATTTGCACCGCAGAAATCCTTAGAAAAGCAAAACAGAAACCAATTGATCTGGAAATTAAAAAACGGAAATGGAAATGGATTGGTTATGTTCTACGTAAACCTAGAAAATTAAAAGTAAAGTTTTTGATTGGAACCCTCAGGGCAATAGAAAAAGAGGAAGACCTAAAAATACTAGACGCAGGACGATTGTAAACGAATTGAAAGCAGTAAGAAAGACGCGAAGAGAGGAAAAATATCTGACCATGAATAATGAGATGAAAATCTATGATAGAAGCCCTCTATGCGCCAATTCGGAGTTAAAAGAAATATGTGATGTGTGTGATATAACAAGGGTCAGGTAAAGGTTGCGACAAACCTCTAAGGGAGTTAAGGCACATAATCAGGATTAAAATTGCAAGGAGCCCATTCACGGAAATGTCGTAATACGCGGCTAGCGGCGTATAACGATATTTCCGGACATTGATTGCTGCCCTAACTCTCTTGGAAGTTTGTCGAAATATTTATGCTACTGCCTGTTGTAGCAAACGTTTTAAAACTTGTACACCTCAAGAAAAAATAAAATAAAACTATCATTTTGTAAAAGAAAAAAAAATTTAGTTTGGAAACAGCAATGTGAAAGCCATCTGTTTAAAAATCTCAAACAACACAAAAAAAAGTTCCCCAGTTTAAATGTGCATACATACATTTATGAATAAGTAAAAATTAGCTATCGCCATGTAACGTGATTTTTAAAACTGACCTCATGGTACATTGCTGCAATGAAAAATTATTCTTAATAACATCGTGTTAAACTTTGATTACGAATTGAAGAATTAAAACTAATTTAGTACACGTGAATATTTATTATAACTTTTACCCTACACTGAAACCTGAAGATACGTCTTTCGGGTTAAGCCTCCCTATTTCAGGTAGTTAATTATGTGTGCCTGATGAAGGGAAACTTTTTCTTCCCGAAACGCACAGGTTTAGTTTTGTGTGGTTGCTGTTCTAAGAATTTTTAATAAAAATTCATCTGATTACTTAATTAAAAGTTAACTTTTCATAGATAAATTTTTTTTTCAATGCTGGGGGTTTATTAATATTTCATTTACATACTCTAATAAAAGCTATAAATAATTCATATATAGTTAGTGCTATGTGGGGTTCATGAATGCCTTTGAAACTTTTCGACTAATATTTATTAATGCAATGACCCATGAAACTCAGCATGAAACTTAGGAGTTCCTTGGGAGAATTTCAAAATAAATAAATTAAAAACTTAGACTGAAAAAAATATTTTTTTATTCACTAAATCGATACAAATACTTACACGAGACACTTTTCAAATTATCCGATAAAAGTTTCCTGAAACGCAAAGCAGCTATAAATATTTATTACAAATATGTATGACTGTAATAATCAAAAATATGTAATGCAATATTTTTAAAAGAGCATTTTTACTTCAAATATTATAAATTACTTTTCAAACTTAATGTCTATTATAATTAGCGGACGTAAACACAGTAAACTGTGGCCAATTTGAATGGATCACGGTTTACTGTGTTTACGTGTTGCTGTATAATTTATTTGAATTGATACGGACTAAAATATCATGACATTCTCTCCGTTTGTTCATAATATTTTAATGCTTATAATTCGGGAAACATAAATAAACAAATTACAGCTGCTTATTTTCACTAAATAAGGGTTATTTTCAAAACTTTTTAAAATATTATCATCCTTTATTGCCAGCACTACCAATATTACTGAAATTGACAATATTAGGAGCATCTTTGTTTCTTCTGGGTAAGTAAGAATGTGTGTAAATTAAGGATACAAGCCCATTAATAAAGTAAGCATATGAGATGCAAATTTTGTCTTGATAATATAAGGACGCCTTTTTTAAATTCAAATTATAAAAACATAAAAACATTTTCATTAAATTTATGTCTTTACCAGCTTCGTGGAATAATGTAAAAACGCAACATAGTTGAAATAATATTTAAACTTATATGACTGCTGTAATTAAGAAGAAAAAAAAAATTTACGCATTCCTATTTAACAACAGAAAAGCGAAATAAATAAAAAAAAATATAACTTTTGTCCTAAAATTTGGCAACATGATGCACATATTTCTGTAAGCGTTCGGAAAAAATTCTTTGAAAATGAAGAGAAAAAAAGCCATTATGCTTATGATGACTCTGCGAACTGCCTTCATTCGGTAAATTTTTCATTTTGATGACTGTGACCGTGATAAAAATCAGCATCACACTTAGTTTTTTGTAGTAAAAATGAAAAAAAAAGCGAACGGGAGAACACACATTTTGTCGTTTCAGATTGCTTTTTCCGATGCTTGTCGTTAGATGGCGCGCGTCGATGAAGTAGCTGGTGCCAGATTCATTGTGAATTGGAGGAGGAGAGTCAAGAAGTATTGAATTGCAGACGAAAGTGTTCTGCTATCCTCTGTAGGTGTATCTTCTCACGTCGTCTTCCCATCTTCTTCAGTTTTCCTTTCGGTTGGATACTCGTTAACATGTAGAAACTCTTGAATCATGGCATGGAACGTGGATTTTCGCGCCATAACTTTGTTGAGAACTTTGCAGACGATAATTATTATAATTCCTGTATTGTGGATACAGAGTGAAGTTCAAGCGGGTGAGTTAAGAATTTTTTTGTTAAAATTTTTTCAAACGATAAAAAAATTTCTACATTGTTCATAAAAGTTCCATCTATTCCCAACCATATCTACGAAATTGAACTAAATTATTGAGTTGTTCATTTGTGAGCAAAAAGTTTTAAATTAAATTTTGACTATTGAAACAGAAATAAAATGGATGTTTTTTCTTTTAAAAAAAAATTAATACTTAAGAAGTAATTTTTGGTAGAAGTAAGATATAATATTTATACAATGAATATTGTTTTAGAAATATTGTTCAAAAGTTTAATAAGTGGAAATTTTTATACAATTTTTTTTTGTCAAAATAAAAGAAAAATGCGTAGGAATTTATCAAGTTTAAATAAAACTATTCTACATGAAAGTTTATAAAATTAATGTACTTATTATAATTAAATGTAATTACAATTCCAACTGTTTACTCTATTACCACTTTATAAGAGTTTGGAAATGTTTAAATAATTTGCATAAATAAAAAAAGTGCGAAAATAATTAAAATTCTACGAATGCACCAAACGATGATGAAGTTACAGACAATTTTTGACAAACTCGGTAAAAATAAATAAATATAAATTTCAAAAATTCTGATATTGAAACCTTTCATCTGAATCATAAGCTTTAATAATTTCATTCGTTATATAATTAGATATTTACTTTTTAGTAAGTAATCGATTTTTCAACTTTTAAAAACTTATTTAATAATTATGTTCTTTTTTTCTCTCTTATGTTTCTCCAATTTAGCTATCATAGTAATAATTATTTTAAAATTTTGTTATGACAAAAAAAAAAAATATTTGAAAAACTGGATTAACCAGTTTATTTTTTTCCCTTGGTGACAGTTTTAATGATCTAAATTTATAACAATAAATTTCGTTTGATAGTAATCTGAAAAAAAAAAATGTTTTAAATTGATTTTTATTCATATAATTCGAAAAAATATTATTGAAATATTTAATTTCTTTTAAACACAGTTTATTTCTTATTGTTTATTCAATGTCTGGGTTAGCATAAAAAATTTTGGTAAAAATAAGTTTAATTACATACTCATTTTGCTGCAACTAACTAATTTATTAAACCCACGAAGATCTAATTATTTTATGAAATAATCATTAATTGAGGTTTAATGTTTTTTTTCCTTCACGCATTTCGTTCACGATTTGTTCGACTGGTTCTTTTGAAACATCGTAATTCAACTTCTCTGCAGAAATTTGTAACTAAATTGCCGGTTTCAGCGGAAGTAACTTTGCGCAGAGTGTTATGCAGGGAAACTGACTTTTAATCAATTTCGTTCCTTTTCCTTCTTGTATGGTGGATGCAATATGTTTTAAAGAAGTTTAACAGAACAGAGTAGTGAAATCAGGGTTTTAACAAATTTTGTTTTCTCAATATATATAATTTAGGATAAAAGAAGAAAAAATAACTTGATTATTGGATTTTTTTTTTAAATCTGTATTTAGTAAAAATGATTATTAAAATTTCTGGTCCTTACTGATGTTTTAAAAATCCTAATTGAGCTAACTATATTAATAATTATTAGTTTTCAATTATTTTCTTGTAAATTAAGTAAGTTATTTAGTAAAAACGCAAATAAAATACAATGTCTTAGAACTTTGAGTATATTCATTGTAAGAGTTGTTCTTCGAGCAATTTTCTTAAGTTTATTTAAAAAATACCTGTTATTTTTTGTTTCAAACGAAATTGTTTTTGACATTGATTTTATTTACCTTGTAAGTTTTCAGTATATTTTTTTGTGTCTCTTAATAATTTTTTTTTTTGCTTTTGAAGAAAAATATTTTTATTTCAAGTGACAACAAGTGATGTAATGAGTATACAGAAAATGGGCGTACTCTCACTGGGTTTTTGACAGAAATCTTATTTTTCGTCTATCTTTCAGTTTTTTTATTAAATGTTTCTTCGCTTTTTTAATTATATAATGAATTCGAAACAAATGTAAAAAATTTTACTTTAAATCATTTGGATATAATTTAGATAATATTTATAAATGTAATTTATAAATATAATTTAGAAATAATTTCGGAAAAAGTTTGGATTCTTGGCGTTTCCTGGTTGAAACATTTGCCACAACAACGCAAGTGACAACAATTTAAAAGAAAGATTAATAAATTAAATTGGTTGTAAATTCTCTAATAAAATCATTTCTAATAGTTTAGCCTGAAACATTATGCAAAATTAATGAACATATTTTGAAATTTATTAGTTATAGTGTTATTATCTCTGAAAGTGTTAAATAGAAAGCATATTCGTGCATTTTTAACAATATTTTAAAAAATAGTTCGTAGACAGAGGAGGGGAGAAGTGTTCAAGATTTAACGAAAAAAGATACAAATAATCTGTAATATTCGATTAATTAATTCTTTTGATTAATATGCATCCATTTAAATCATATGCACCTTTATTAGTATGGATAGATAAAACAGAAAAAAGTTGTATTTGAAAAATCAAGGCTTTTAATTTAAATACAACGTCTCAAATATTTGCGTTAAGGAAAAGATTTGATACTCACTGAATTGTTTTATCCTTTTGATGAAGGGTGAAAATAATATTTTTGTTTATTTCTCTTATAAAATTTGTCCAAACCAAAACAAAACAGTGTCACTGGGCCAATTTTTTTTTCTGTGACGGAAAATTACACGTTCCAGGGGATACGTTATAACTTTATCTTTGCGTCCTGTCGTAAGAGGAATCACTGATTTATGTTTCGTAAATCTTTTCAAACATGAGATTTTGCTCCAATTATAACGTGTCTTAACTATATCATCAATCATTGTAAATACTATTTCGTTAAATTCATACGGTTCAAAGTTATTTTCACAAAACTTCATCTTGCAGTAAAAAAGAAAAAAAAAGCGAATTTAGTATTGAACAAACAAGTTCTTTCTCTTTCTTTTCTAAAATTAAGACTGAAATCAAAGTGATAGTATTTCTTTTTCGCTAATGAAGATAGGTATGTGAATGACAATAGTTTGGTCACAAAAATTTGCTCTCCTAAAATGAGAAATTTGCACTTGAAAATTTTAAATAGTCTCTTTACAAAGATATTTTATAGATATGAAACTATTCAACACTTCCCTTCAATGCAATTGGTGACCGAATATTTAGGTATGAAGCTATGCAACACTTCCCTTCAATATACAATTGGTGACCGAATATTTACGGCTAGGTATGAAACTATGCAACACTTCCCTTCTATATGCAATTGGTGACCGAATATTTACGGCTAAGTATGAAACTATGCAACACTTCCCTTCAATATGCAATTCGTGACCAAATATTTACGGCTAGCGAGTAACAGTATAACGAATACTAAACAAAGACTTCTAAAGATTCAATATATATCAACAAGGAATCTTACCTTGTTTCGGCTTCTTATCTTGCCTTCACCTAGTATTCTATTCCAAAGGTCTTGGGCTGTAGATAACTAATACACTTAGGCTGAAAAATACTTCGCACAAAACGTTTAAGAATTAAATTTAATAGTTAAGGATGATAAAAAAAGGGAAAGCTATATACAGATGAAAAGAGTAGTACGTTGCATGACAAATTCTAAGCTAGACCACGCTCGTGGAGAATAAGTTCGTAATTGAATGTTTCTGTTATTGTCCGCTAGGGGGGGATCGAGGTATTCTCAACAAACAGAGTTTGACACGGGAATAACAACGTTTGAAAATTACAGAGTTGCACTCTAGGGTTACAATTATCAGATGTTATTTTTTATTTTCATGACTTTTACTGATATATAAATGATATTGAAANACATTGATTTTATTTACCTTGTAAGTTTTCAGTATATTTTTTTGTGTCTCTTAATAATTTTTTTTTTTGCTTTTGAAGAAAAATATTTTTATTTCAAGTGACAACAAGTGATGTAATGAGTATACAGAAAATGGGCGTACTCTCACTGGGTTTTTGACAGAAATCTTATTTTTCGTCTATCTTTCAGTTTTTTTATTAAATGTTTCTTCGCTTTTTTAATTATATAATGAATTCGAAACAAATGTAAAAAATTTTACTTTAAATCATTTGGATATAATTTAGATAATATTTATAAATGTAATTTATAAATATAATTTATAAATAATTTCGAGAAAAAAGTTTGGATTCTTGGCGTTTCCTGGTAGAAACATTTGCCACAACAACACAAGTGACTACAATTTAAAAGAAAGGTTAATAAACTAAAAAGGTTGTAAATTCTCTAATAAAATCATTTCTAATAGTTTAGCCTGAAACATTACACAAAATTAATGAACATATTTTGTATTTTATTACTTATAGTATCTCTGAAAGTGTTAAAAGACGGCATATTCGTGCATTTTAAGCAATATTTTTAAAAAAATAGTTCGTAGACAGAGGAGGGGAGAAGTGTTCAAGATTTAAAAAAAAAAGATACAAATGATCTGTAATATTCGAATAACTAATTCTTTGCTTAATATGCATCCATTTAAATCATATGCACCTTTATTAGTATGGATAGACAAAACAGGTAAGAGTTGTATTTGAAAAATCAAGGGTTTTAATTTAAATACAACATCTCAAATATTTCCGTTAAGGAAAAGACTTGATGCTCACTGAATTGTTTTATCCTTTTGATGTTAATACAGAGGTGAAAATAATATTTTTGTTTATTTCTCTTCTAAAATTTTCCTAGACCAACACAAAACAGTGCCACTGCTTCTATTTTTTTTCTGTGACGGAAAATTGCACTTTCCAGGGTATACGTTATAACTTTATTTTTGCATCCTGAAGGAATCACGGAAGGAATAAGAGGAATCACGGACTTACGTTTCGTAAATCTTTTCAAACATGAGATTTTGTCGCAAGAGGAATCACTGACTTATGTTTCGTAAATCTTTTCAAACATGAGATTTTGCTCCAATTATAACGTATTTTAACTATATCATCAATCATTGTAAATACTATTTCGTTAAATTCAAACGGTTCAAAGCTATTTTCACAAAACTTC